TGCAGCGAGGCTAACTGCATGCAGCGAGGCTAACTGCATGCAGCGAGGCTAACTGCAGGCAGCGAGGCTAGCTGCAGGCAGCTAGGCTAGCTGCATGCTTCCTCCCCATCGGCCGCTCTGACCCACCTGCCTTCTCCACCTCCATGGGCTCCGGTTCCGGCTGCTCCACGGGTCGGCCGTCCACGTGCGTGAAGACGAACGGTTTCTCTGACGCCACCATTAGGCCCCTCCCCTGTGGCTCCACGGCGGCGTAATGAGGCACCGACTTCCCCCTCAGGACCCTCCTCTTCCTCACCTCCATCTTCTTCTCTGGACCTGCAGGTGGAGATGAAGGTTCTGGTGATGAGGAAGCTCTCAGGACTGGGATCAGGTTTTCCAGAGGTGGAAGGTTCTGAACTAAACAGACTCTACGGAAGCTAACAGTGAAACCGGGCCGCCATGCGCCTCGTTAGCTAGAACCATCCAGAATCAGCCGGACAGCAGCTTCCTTTGGACCCACCTTGTCCGGCGGCGCCGCTCACAGTGACCCACTCCAGAAACACACAGAACCCGCTCCCCGTGGTCTCCTGGGGGTCCTTCTGGACACGCAGCAGCAGAACCTCCACGGCGTGGACGCCGGCCTGGACGTGGGAGACGCTGTGCAGGATGGTGAACGGGTCGCCCAGCCGTTCGCTGAACAGAACCTGCAGGAACCAGCGTTGTTCAAACCCAGAGAACCAACCATCATTTTGCAAATCGGTTCATCTGTCGATTATTTTTCCATGAATCGATCAGAGCAGAAGGTTGCTCAAAGATTTTATGACGAGTTTAAAAACTTTTCCACCCGTTTCTGACCCGTTTTTAACCCGTTTCTGGAATATTTCTGACCCGTTTCTAAACAGTGTCTGGCCTAATTTGGACCCGTTTCTGACCCGTTAATACCCATTTACCTCCCACTTGGTCTGACAGCCGTCTCCTCTCTTGCCGGTCCGGAGGAGCTGCAGCCGCCCGCCGCCGTCGGACAGAACCGCCGAGGTCGCTGAGGAGAGGCTGATGGACGGGCAGAGCCGCTCAGAACACGGGTCGGACTCTGGTCCGAACCTGAAGACCTCCTTGGGCTTCCCCAGCGCCGTGTCCTGCATCCAGAACCAGAGACAATTCTTTAGAGTCCAGATGTTCAGTCCAGCTGTGGTTTGAGCGTATCCAGAACCAACTGGTCCCACTGGAACCAGTTAATCCGGATCACTGATGTTTAAATTCTGATCCGGGTTTAAAGCAGCACCAGCAGGTCCGGTTCTAACAGGCATCCAGAACCCGGCTGAGTGACCATCAAGCAGGGTTCTGGTACCGGGACGAGGCAGAAGGTCCGACAGGTCTTAGTTTGCTGCTCGCCCTACAAAGAAGTCCAGAACCCAGCAGAACCATCAGATCCAAGAAGCTTTGATCAGAAAAACAACCATAGAGATGATCAAGGTTCTGTTTGGACCTCCGTCCTTCAGCAACCATCTCCATCAGAACCATCAATCAAAGCTGAACCGGGTCTCAGGAAGCTGGAACCGGTTCTGACCCGGTTCCCATTCGGGTAGTTTAAGCTGGAGCATTAGAATGATGATGGTTCTGATCCGGTGAAACATCCAGAACCTTCTGGATCGGTCCAGTGTTCAGTTCGGTCTGGCGGTTTCTGACCAATCAGAGTCCAGAGCTCTGAGAGACACGCCCACATCACTACCAGCAGATTTCTCTGCTTGGTTCTGGTGAAACTGGACCTGAAGGTTCTGTTTATCCAGAAAAGATGGCTGACCCGTTCTGATGGTTCTGGTTCTTCCTCAGGGACTAATCTGGGTTCATGATCCGGACCGTTAAGAAGAACTTTCTGTCTGTTAGATGGTTTCTCACCTGACAGGTGAGTCGGATCAGAACCAGATGCTGCAGCTCTGAGCTCCAACATCCAGAACCTTCTAACATCGATGGTTCTGCTGAGGGGCAGAGACAGCGACCCAGATGATGATGATGATCTGGTTCCGTTAGTCTCTGATTATCTCTGAATTCTGGACATAAAAACGGTTCGGCACCAAACCGGATCAGAACCAAGCTTCAATCCTTTAATTAACTGCATTATCAGAACCGGACCTTTCGATGGACTGAACAGAACCTCTTCCCTCTAACGCTGACCAACGCCGCCCCCTGCTGGTGACTGCGCTTCACTGAGGAAACAGGACCGGCTCCTCCAGATGAACCCGGGGATCCTTCCAGAGACTCACCAGGGTGACGGTGAGGCTCAGAACCCGGGCCTGGCGGTCCACGAACAGAACGCTGTCCTGGTACCACGGGTCCAGCTGCAGGTAGTTGAACATGGCGAAGGCCTGCATGTGTTCCAGCGTGTACTGAGCGTCCGTCAGCTGCATCTCCTCCACAGCTGGACAGGATGAGACATGAACAGAACCAGAACATCGGGTTATTCTGAGCGGCTGATACGGAGGAAAGAAAAACAACAAAACATCTCAGATTACTTAATATCGCCATGACAACCAGGCAGCCGACCCTCTGGAGTTGGTCGGCTCAGTGATGCCGATACTGTGATCATTGTCCCACAGACCACCATGTTCACCCGCATTTAACCCTTTCATTCATATCTATTAGAGCTAGAGGTGGAGCGATGCACCGATTGGCCGATATCTGCTGAGAAGGTTGCAGTACCTGGTTCGATTCCCACAGACTGCCACTCTGGGTCCCTGAGCAAGACCCTTAACCCCACCCTGCTCCCTGGGCGCCGCACAATGGCAGCCCACTGCTCCCCAAGAGGAGGGGTTAAATGCAGAGAGTGAATTTCTCCAATATGAGATCAATAAAGTTCAATTAAAAAAAAAATTTATCCAGACATGAAACTTTGAAACATTTCCTAATCAGTAAATGTTTTGAGACTAATTTTAACCTTTTCTCTAATTTAAATTTTTTATTTGCTTTTCAGATGGAGTTTTATGACTTATTTTTGTTAAGTAGCATTACACCGATTACATTCTCTCCACTTCCAGTCAGATTCAAACGCTCACCTTTCACCAATGAAAATGTCTCTAACATCCAGCCGACCAATAGAAACGTGTCTTTGATCAGGGGAAAGCCCGCCCCCACAAGGAAGGAGAGAATCTGATCCAGAAGATGCATTTTAAATCCATCCATCCATCCTCCATCTATCGTTAATGTTTGTTTTTTTGTTAATAAAGATTTATTTTCATTTAAAATGAAGCTTGTGTAACATTTTTATCACGTAAAAGTAGACAGAAAAAGCTAAATCTGCTGTGAGAATCTGCAGGATGTTAAAATAATCACAGCAGCTGATCTTCAATTAAAATCAAACACATCAAAACCAGATAAAACAACGAAACAGATCGGATTCTGATTTTAAAGCCAAGGAACCAGCAAAGACAACAGGAAGTCAGACATTCCCTCTCTAATATCGCCTTTCTATGATCGGATCTCCTGATTCTCCTCTTCTAGCTTCACACAGCAGCTTCCTCCTGTGGTTTAGGAGAAACACGGCTGGGAAATATTTCAGCACTGAGAATAAAACAAACAAGGCAGCAAGTTCATCAAAATGCTTGAAAGTTTTCCAGGAAACATGGAGAACTTTCTGGAAGAACCCTTTTAATCATTAGAGGAAACATGGAGATGATTGAAATCATCTCAGGACTGAAAACAAGGTCTGTTTGTTTTATTCCTAGACAGAAATTACACATATAAACTATTTCTCTTTCTAATCTGGCATAAATTACATTTAAAGACATAAAAGGGCCCAACAGAACCACGGTGCAGTGAAAAAGTGGCCAAAGTCCAAAGAAAAACCCAAAAGGGGCTTCAGGAATCCACCAGAACCTCTGATCTGCTGTGATTTATTA